TCCACGTGTAAACTCTCCAGTTAAGAGACACTTCAGGGTTTAATAATTAAAATATCCAGGCTATTTCCTGAAAACTCCTGTTGCCTGTTAAATGCCTCACAGTCCTTAATGGCTGCAGCCCTATAGGCTCCACGATATTTCCACTATTTTCCATGAATAGCCATTCCATTAACAGCGATTAGATGGTGTCCATTCAAAGTTGCTGATCCATAGGAAAAAAACGCTTGCGGATAAAAAGCGATTTCAAGTGACCTCGTCCCTTTCACACAAATCTGAGCCCCCAGAATAATTTAGGGATCAGATCTGGACAAAAAGACCCCCCGCACCCCCGCTCTCCGCCCTATTCGTCTGTCTCCCTCTCTCTCGCTCCCTCTCGCGCTCTGTCACACACACACAATTTTCAACACCCCTTCCCTCTTCAACACACTCAAAGCTACAAAACAATAAATTCAAACACTAGAATCACAACACTAGTTTAATCATTTTAATATACGAGTGTGGTTATGTGTATGGCTTATCTCTATTAATTTCTATTTATTTGTATTTTTATTTAATATTTAAAAATTCAATTTGCACACAAGGGTGTTGGGATGAAGAAAAAGTTTAGGAAAAAATAATTAATTTATTTTAGCCTATGTTTAGATTAAATATTTTCAAGAAAAATGAAAGCTTTGCTGTCATTCATTTATTTTAGGTGAATGCATTTATATGTAAAAATAATAATATTATTTATAATAGCTCCCTTTGTTGTCTCAAATATAAACAGTATAAACCAACACGTCAGTGCAAGACGTAGAATAAATGTAGAAACAGATGAGCAGAATACACGTGTTTAAAAACAAATAAATTTACCATGTAGTTAGTACTAAACTTAAACTAGGTGTTGTCCTATTTTGGTATTTATGGGATGTAGAAAATACACGTTTATTTTGTATTTCCTTTAATTTTACATATAAGCTACCAATTTAAACAATGAATTAAATAAATATAAAATACAGATTATCATGTGAAACAACTGCCTAGAAGTCACGTCTGTATGATAGCACAACATAGCGCATCCCGCCTTAAACGGTTTACTTTGTTTAAACATTTAAATGTCTTGAAAACATTTCAGTAAGTTTCCCTCAAACTTATAAGACTAGAAAAACTTGCAGTAGTTATAAAAATGAATTTAATTTCGCGTGTTTTACGCCACACGTGCACCATCACACCATTAATCTGCGTCTAATATAGAAACAAACAGCCTAGACATGGGATGCGTAATGACGCACGCATTAAGTTCCAGTCACTTTACGAGTGTAATGGTGCTGGTTTGTTTTCATTTACGCTGACAGACGCTTAAGTCGCAGGGATCAGCAGCAGCAGCATCAGCTGTATGGATGTGGCTCTCAATCTTATGACCCCGCGTCCAGAAACACTGAAAAATGACTCACATTTATTTAAAAAAAAGAAAAAGGAAATCCTTGTAATGTATTATTAAGTGTTTTTGCCTTGTGGTTAATACTCAGGATGTGATTACACACAATCAATAAATGGAAACACAAACCTCCACCAATCTGTAAAACCCCGCTTCCCCTTCGGATCGTTTCAACTGCTCCAGAGCAGTGTCTCCTGGTCATCTGTTGTTTTATTGAGGGGCCTTGCACTTGTGACCTCAGTGTTTTCCCGACTGATGATGTTGCTGCGTGTTGGTTTCAGCTGCACTACAGCTGCACTGTTAGAAATGGAGAGTATTTCTGTTCATCACATCATATTTGGCCAAACTATTATCTGCTCTTATTTTTTAATTTTTATTACTATTCCCATTAATTATTTATCTTTGAAGGCATTTAACTAAACTCGAGCACCGTGGGAGTAATTAGGTCCTTCAAAGATTATTTCTTATTGTTTTCAGCTTTGGTAAATAATATAAAAGACGTTATATTTAATTTGGACAAAAAATAATTACATTGAGTATTATTTTAAAATTAAATGTATTGATATTATGACTTTGCCATTTCTATTTAAATAGTAGATAATAATACGAGTGAAAATAAGTATTAAAACACGCAATTAAAAATAATAGATTATTAATTACGAGCAATACGCGCAGGATTATAATTAGCAGCATGGCAGAGAAATGCTATTTTTATGCAGCTATTTAAAATGTTGACCCGATCAATTTAGAGTTTTGAGTGTTGTTTATTTTACTTTTTGTTTAACTTGACTTTGTTGTGCCATTAATTTATGTCAACAGTGTGATGGATCACAGCATGACATTTTTCCTTTACTCTTTCGCACATGCAGTCATTTTTCTAACGCAGTGATGTGTGTGAGTGTTTCACAGTGCACTTCATTTAACGCCAATGCACCTATTGTTTTATTTCGATTTATTTACGTAGTTACACGTTACATTGTATTTAATAGAGGTGGTACTTGGAATATAGCACGGGATGTGGAATAAAATGTTACCTCTGATAATCCACTGACGTTAAGGCAGATACAAACAGGCTCTTATCGATTTTAATTTTTACAACAACAGATAGCCTGGTGCAGGTGACGTTCACCGGACGGCTCATGTCCAGCAGCACAATGACAACAGAAACTGCCGGCAGCATGTTATGGCACGGTGCAGTTTATTGCACACAAAGTTATGAGGTTAGGTGAGATGCAGGACGTGGTCTGATCGGTATGATGGTGCGAAGAAAATAATTTACGGTTCGAACTCTACTTTTAACGGTTTTGCGGAGGCGCACGGACAAATGTGTCTGTGCGCACCAGAGCATTGGGGAAATATGGTGAAGTTAAAATGTGTACTTGCCTTCTGTGCGCCCGGTTTTATCCAGGTTCAAAGCTGCTCCTCTCCTGCGAACCTCCGCCACCTCTGCCTCCGCTGCTGCAGCTTCTTCTCCTTCCTTTTATGTTCCACTGTCAACATTCTCCCCTTTTCTCTCGCCGCTTCCCAGCTTTCTATTAGAGCCTCTCTATAGCCTGCTCCCATTCGCCGCCCCTCTCACTCTCCTCTCCTCTCCACTCTTCTCCTGCGGAGCCTTTTTCCTAATCTGAGGAGTTAAATCTTAATGATACACTTAGAGGGAAAGGGTGATAGAGGACAAATCTTTGTCCGATTTAATCTTATTGGTTTCACCTTTTCAAAGAGCCGGAGACATGGCCGGGGAGTTTTTAGTGGAGTGTCCGAGACATGGGACGGGAGAGAGAGCTCTCATGTTGAATTCTTAAAAAAAATCCATCCCTCCAGTGTGTTTGCAAAAGGGGGCTCTTGCATGTTTGCGCCCCATTGTATCTACTAATATCTCTTTGTGGTAAAAGATTTGCATTCAGACACTTTGAATAAGAATTCTTAACAATAACTTCACGCATTAGGGACGCTTATTCTTTTGCACGCAGCACGTGCAAATATAATGCAGCGTTATTCACGATTACGATTATATCTCTGTGCTCCATCTTTATTAGGTGCAGTAAAATCCGCACTTTACTTTTGGTACTTTTCTGTGTTTTTGACACGTTAAGTATATTTATTGTTGACACACGTTTTTCCTCTCTTTCTCTCTCTGTTTCCTAAGGCCATTACAATGATTTTTTTTTATAATCACAAATGTCCACAAATATATGTGCGTAAAAATCTTTATATATATTTTTATTTTCTAAATCAACTCCTCAGTCTTAAAATTGTATCTTTGATGACTTAATGTATACAATAATATTAAGTTGTAATTGTGCAACGTACGCTAGATGGCAGCGCGATCCAAATATTTTTCAGTCTGAGAGGTGGCGAGGCTGCAGAAACTCTCATACAAAAAGCCGGGATCCCTATGCAAATTCCTCGCAACTTCATATGATTTGGAATTACTGTCATTATTAAGACATAATGTGACACCAGCTCAGTGATTGTGGAAACTGCAGCATCCTGGTAATTATTAAATGTTGCTTATTGCTGCGGCTATTTATAGAGATTTCCGACCGCTGTCACACCGCATCCCGTTCATACAACATGCTTTTTCGTGCATCAGCCTTTGAATTGACATCTTCTGCCTTTATAAGCGCCTTTAAACTAAAATGTAAGTTTTAATCGGCACACTGTTGCCGATTACAGACGCGGATTTACCGCAATGCGCATGGCAAAAACAAAGCAACATGTAAAACTGTAGAAATCCGCTTCAAACTAAACATGACACTAGTTATTTCTGTAAGATAACAGACCGCAAACAAACCATATTGAAACTTTGGGATGGAATTATGTGCCAGAGTCCTTATTTCGCCGCTGCGCACAGCTTTTTGGGTTTATTTGCCGTTCGTAAAACCTTTGTGCCCCCCACCTCCTCTCTGTTGCCTTTACCCCGCTTTTTTAGTCATTCTATCCAGGGTTTCTTCCTCTTTTTGGCGACAATAGACGACCCATACTAATCAGGTTTCAAAATAAATAGCAGCGCGGGCCGAGCTCAATGTAAATTGTGCCTGTCAGATCCCCCCAACCCCTCCAGTGGTTGGATGGCAACACTACAAAAATATCCATCGGTTCAGTACCGAGTCTGTAAATCTTGGTTTTAACCAAAATGTGAGACTAAATCCCGATCCATGTGTTCGAGATTGTTCCTATGTGTTCCCAGTGCCAGACCAGACTCATCACGTTGCGTGTTTGTCATTTTTATAAGATCGAGCAATTGTCTTTTCCACCGCTTATAAACGCTATCGTTTGCTGAAACGTATCTTTAAACTATTCACATTTCAGCTGTAAAACAAGTGGAATTGGCCACATCCATTCGTACTGACTTTTAAGGAAACAGTTATGTTTCAGGATTTGAACACGAGACTGAATGACTTGTCAGGATGGACATTTTCTGCAATGAATGAACGGTGGGAGTCTAACCAATAGAGAGGCAGAGGGGGCTTGGCTATAACCTTAGCCTCCCATTTTTTCTCTCTCTCTCCCTCTCTTTCGCTCTCTCTCTCCCCCTCTCCTCTCCTCCTCCCCTATGCAGGGCTCTGGCCAGTCAGTCGCCTTTGATTATCAGTCTCCAGAAGCCCCTCTCTTGGCTCCTTGACATGAGCACCATATAAGGCGCAGCGATCTCCATAGAAACGTGTCAGTTTCAATAGGAGTGTCAAAGTTCACTTATACAGACATTCGTGCAGATCCCCCGTTTCGGAAACATTGCTTTGCTGGTCCTCCAGTTTAAGCGCATTCAAATTTTAAGTCTCTCCTTCTTCTTGCATATTCTATTAATTGTTGGTGTTTTTTCCCCTCTTCCTTTTTTCATCTTTTTTCTTCTTCGTATCTCCATTCCTCCTGCCGGAGAGAGGTGAAACTATACATGGGCACTTCATTCGCCGACGCGCTTTGCTTTCGCTGCCGGGCGAGATGATGAGGTTTATTTAAGAATATAGATGTAAAAATCCAGCTCTTCAGTCTGTCCTCCCCGCTGTGTGGCGAAGACGGGAGCGTAAAGGAGCAAGGGGAAGAAAAGAGAAAGGAATTTATCTCCGCAGCACTTTGGATCGCGTGTCTTTCCAGCAAAAGGTCTTCTTTTTTGACTCGCTCCTGCGTCCATGTGAAGCGCTCCTGCTTTTTCCTTTGTGGCTATTTTATACCAAGCTGCAATTTGTTACGACTGGACTCGGGTTTTCCAACAAGATTAGGGATTCCTGAATGGCAGACTGCAATTTACCTTGGAACTGGCCTCCCGATACTTGCATATCCTGATCGGGTGCCTCTTCAATCGCCCTGCTGTTATTTTGAATGTATTGATCGCGCTCTGCTCTGCTCCATACCCCCATATAAGATTGCGTGCTCCGATTTGACTTTGCACTGCCCCGTCTTTTGAGAACTATATTATTTTTTTCTTCTCCTCAACGCTCCACTAACACCGGCGACCATTTCGCTTTATAGCACTTTCCGTGGCCGAGATATGGCAATGGTAGTTAGCGTTTGGCGAGATCCGCAGGAAGACGTGGCCGGAGGACCTCCGAGCGGTCCCAACCCAGCAGCGCAGCCGGCGAGGGAGCAGCAGCAGGCTGCGTCGGCGGCGCCGCACACTCCGCAGACCCCCAGCCAGCCGGGACCCCCGTCCACACTGGGGACCGCTGGGGACAAGGGGGGTCAAAATTCTGGACAGAGTCAGCAGCATATTGAATGTGTGGTTTGCGGAGACAAATCGAGCGGCAAACACTATGGCCAGTTTACCTGCGAAGGATGCAAAAGTTTCTTCAAGAGGAGTGTAAGGAGGAACTTAACATACTCATGTCGTGCCAATAGGAACTGTCCCATTGACCAGCACCACCGAAATCAGTGCCAATACTGCCGGCTGAAGAAGTGTTTAAAAGTGGGGATGCGCCGGGAAGGTGAATATATATATATATATATATATATATATACATATATATTTATAAATAATAATTATTATTAATAATTTACACACACTAAAGCCCACTCGTGATTTTACGCATCCACATCAGCAGCCACCGTAGTAGTAGACGGAAAAAGGGCGTGTTGGTCACAGTCTATATGGCTGGGCACATACTGCAGTCTCTATCCATGATTTGCAGGGATGTTTGCATGAATGCTTAAGTCTCTTTTTTTCTCCCCTTCTTCGTGCATATACATGAGAGAGAGAAGGGTAAAAGGCCAGAGAGCAGCCACAGTAGCTGTGCTTTTCAGTGCTGGTCGCCTGAACAAATTTTTCCTATTTATAGAATTCAATTATTGTCCAATCGCCACCACTGTCAAAAAACACTAGGTAAAATGTGCTGTTCCACGCACATATATTTTTTAAGGGGAAAAGAGGGTTTGTGTTCGAGTGAGTGTGTTTATGTGTGCGTTGGTGTACAGTGTTCAAAGCTACTAAGCTATTTTAGAAGTATATGCTGATTGTTCGTGTAGTACAGTGCTGTTGTTTTGGGTTTTTTTGTGTATATGTGTGTGGATGTGTGTGTGTGAATGTTAGTAAGAACACACTCCAGACCCTGGTCTCTGGCTTTTGGTCTCTATGCTGACTACACTGCTCAGAGGCTAAAGTTGTTCCTGGCTAATTGTTTTGCCTGCTGTATTACAGGCCAGGTAACTTCCCTCTTCATGATGGTTGTTTTAATTCGAATTAACTGTGAATTTAATTTTCCCAATTTTTTTTGCAAACATCCCTCTGCTCAACCCTGTCATTTACATGCACACTGAGAGTCTGCGTCTAACACACACTGGCCGACATTAATATTTAATTTTGACATTAAAAAATGGCTGAAAGTTTCGCACTGCCTTTTCGTGTAGATAAAATGTACAATTGTGGCTGCAATTAACGGTAATTATAAACTCGGTTTGGCATATGTCCGAGCACAGTAAATAATTATTAAGCAAATTAAATTATTAATTTCCAAAACATATAAAGCTAAACGAACTCAAGTTTGCTGCTGTGTGTAATGCGACGATACGCCCTAAAATATTGATGGTAATAAAATAATATTAAACAATTGATAACGTGTAGAAAATGTGAGTGTTCAGTGTGTAAAAGTGATTGTATTTTCAGTTTTCTGTCTAAATACAAATGCAAATGCAATGAGTGTGAAGGTTAAGGGACACAGCACATATGTTCTGGTGATAAATATGTTATGATCGATGGACTAAGACTATCTTTCAAACCTCATACACTGTAGTCAATATGTTTTAAAGTGTGTGTTGAATTATTTTAGATTTCAATGCATGCTGGGTTTTTTTTGGGTTTTTTGTTTTGTTTTGTTTTTTTCCTCATTTATGGGACACAGTCGAGCTCTAGCTTTCTGGACGTGTTGTTACTCTTGAACAATGTTTATCAGTCCTGGATGCACATTTCCTCTTTTTCTCTCCAGGCCAGTACGCGCTGACGAACGGGGACCCACTGAACGGCCATTGCTATCTGTCCGGATACATCTCGTTATTGCTGAGGGCCGAGCCCTACCCGACCTCCCGGTACGGGAGCCAGTGCATGCAGCCCAACAATATCATGGGCATCGAGAACATCTGCGAGCTGGCAGCTCGTTTGCTCTTCAGCGCCGTGGAGTGGGCAAGAAACATCCCTTTCTTCCCCGACCTGCAGATCACAGACCAGGTGTCCCTTCTCAGGCTGACGTGGAGCGAGTTGTTTGTGCTTAACGCGGCCCAGTGCTCCATGCCTCTGCATGTCGCCCCTCTGCTCGCCGCAGCAGGCCTCCACGCCTCCCCGATGTCCGCGGACCGAGTCGTGGCTTTCATGGATCACATCCGGATCTTCCAAGAGCAAGTGGAGAAGCTTAAGACGCTGCACGTTGACTCGGCAGAGTACAGCTGCCTCAAGGCCATCGTGCTGTTTACATCAGGTGGGTGTCCAAGTCAAACTCAGGGGCCACTTCTACCCGTGGCGCCTGTTGTGGCACCGTGGATATGGCTGTCAAACCATAGGACTGGTCACAAATTTGACTGTACGAGAAGTGTCTTGCGAATAGAATTTATTTTGTCAACAGCTTACTACATATTACATGCATTCCCATCAGTTGCCGCATCAGACGTGTAAACAAACCCAGATTGAGTGAGCACGTCAACGTTTTCAGCTTCAGCACTCTCCCAAGTGCTCCTCAAAATAGGACACAATTGACAGTATTGTATATTAAGCTATTTTATGATTTTTTAAGTGAACAGATTTAAATTAAATTATTTTTAAACACGCCATCCACACCGACACGTCCGTAATTTTTGGAACAGGTGTCAAACAATTGTGCGTAAAGATGGAATAGTCCATCAATGAGTGATATATGGCAGCTGATGCATTTATGGCTGTTGCTGCTGCTGCTTGCTTTCATCCTTGTTTTGTGTGCACAAACACGTCTTGGGGGTGGGCAGGAAATAATCCTCAGCAGACTGCAGATCAAAACGTTGATTCATAATGTCTGTGCAGCGCTTCTGCACGACTCTCACAGCCACGCCGCATGTACACCAGTCTAACTTGACCCATTAATTTCCTTGTTTTCTGAGGATAGTTTCTCCCGAGGAGTCAGCAGTCATTTTCAACAGTAACCCACATTGTTGATAGCTTAATTGATGGCTGACTGGGGCAAAGTCCCAAAAGTCCCTTTACCCTCCGTGCTTAATTTAGATTCTATTTTGCAGTAGGGTTGTTTACACTTAATGTCATTAGTACTATGGGGTCAAAGGAGTTTGGTAATGATGGAAAAGGAAAAGTTTATCTTTACGCACGTGCCCAAAACCTTTTCTTCCGAACTTGCGTCAGAGTTTTTACTGCATTATCTCATATTTGGCTCGTTACAGAATTCCCCAAAGTGGTTCAACAATATAATTCAACTAGATTCTGTAAAAATATTAAGATTTAATTTTTATTTTCAATTTTGGATTTATAATTGAGCAGTCACACTTATCCATCTAATATGTTTTACAATTATTTAATTATTAAAATCATAATTTACTTAACCTCACCTTAAGTCACACCTGAATGCACACTACCACTACTTGAATGACGCTATATTATATTATATTATATTATATTATATTATATTATATTATATTATATTATATTATATTATATTATATTATATTAAACAGTTTGTGAACAATACATTCGAATATATATATACACAAAATAGTATACAGCATGTATAGGCTAATAATAAATTACAGGATTTTAATTATTTAAACCCTTTAGTTCTCATTAAACCTGCAATAGGAATGGGGATTCTTTTTCACCCACTAAACCACCTTCAACTTTCATTTTTCCTTTTTGGCGAAAACGACGTCACCACAAAGGTTTTCCTACAGTTCCAGGATTTTCTGATATTTTTAGTTTCAGGAGCCATAATAGTTGCTTTCAGCCTTGTGGTTTGGCATCTGTTGGTTAATTTGACACACCAAAATTTGGGATAAACTTAGGGGTAAATATGAGTTTAAAAGCAAATAAATGCGTTATTTATCATGTCCCGTACTTAGGAAATGTGACAGTGCGTTAAATTCATTATTAGTCTGCCCATCCTGTCAAATTTCCTCGTGCACTGACAATCCTGACCAGATTTTCCTATTGCAATGTGTTTTGGGTAATTCACGCTAGATTACCCACCGTAACTCCATACGCACATTAAAGTTAACTCCGTATTTTCTAACACATCATTGAGTTAGGTTGACGGACAACAGCTAGTGTTGGCTACAAGAAGTCACGTGGGACCTTGTCCAGGCCGTTTTGATCTGTTAATCCTGTAAAAACACGGAACACCACAGTTCTGTATCAGTGTCTCGTATGAACTCCATATTCACATGTGCACAGTGTGCGCTGCAGAGACACAGAAATAGTCCTTTGCAAATCTGGAAACTATCTGTTCCCATGTCCCAGTGTGTCTTGATGTTATGGGGTGCAGCTTTGCAGCCAGGCCCTGGGAAGAACTATTGGGTGTCTTTGACCATCTTTCTCTTGACATACACACACGCACGCACACACACCGCTTTGAACTGCATACACATATAAAATACTACATTTTAACACTCGTGCCATGTATTAGAATTTGTAATACATTTCCAAGTTAAATGTGTCCCAACAGTATGATTTAAAAAATGTGAGGGGGCCACTCGTCTTTAATCCACAAGGATTTAAATATCCGTGGGGCACTGACCGGGCCGGAGCTGAGGTAAACAGTAAATGTACCCGAGATCGCAGCGTCGTATAGTGCTTGAAATCTGAAGCAGCCTTCCTTGTTTGGTCTCCACGGAAGCACAATACTCAGTATTAGACTGTCTACTAGAGTACTAGTGTACTAGACAGGCTGCAGACTCCATGTGGGACCAAAGAGCTTTTACGCCGGTGGTTACGCTGCTTGCATTTACATCACTTTATAAGCAGTAGGACACAGATGCTTGGGTTGAGTGTAAAAAACAGACCCAAACGTCGTAATGCACTAACAAACTATTGTTTATGTATTTGTCTATACTGCACATGCACGTCCGCATGTAATCTAACAGCGAGCACCGAAACGCACGAGTCACACACGCAGAGACAGAGACACGGAGATTGAGGCTCATTCACCGACACTTTACGTCGCTTCTTCTCAGTGACTATTGACTTCACACACCTCCACTCACAAATGTGATTGCTACCAGCGGTGTGTCCTATAGGCTACGTCAGAAAACAGGCCAAGACTGGTCTATAGAGAGAAGAGCATCGAAATGACTTTACAGCTCACAGCAGAGTAATTAGGTCATATTACAACTAGTGTCATTTCAGATTCATCTGTGCCATTTGTGTTGCCTTACACTCCAATCCCTCAGAGTCCAGGCATGAAGCAGAGGGCCTGTAGGCCTACAACCTACTACCTTTCCAGCCCTGTGTTGCCCCTACCAGCTCCTCCCTGTTGCAAACACAGTTTTCCATTACATTTAGCTCCATATTCTTGTTGACTGTTGCGGGAGCATACGGAGAAAGGAGCCCTTTCACTGCAAGTCTTACTCCAGCAGCACGATACAACCCCACCCATCCCCCACGCCCCCCGCCCCCACTCCCGCTCATTCTCCATGACGTTCCCAGTGGCTCAGTGTGATGTAGCATGTTTGGCCAGTGTGTTTGTCCATTCCACCTTGTCAATAACACGTAAAGGCTGTTGTTGAATGATAACCGGGGAGAGAGCGAGCTCTTGTAGGATGTAAATTGGCAATGGCAAAGTGTGCATTTTATTAAAAGTGGAGCCCACATGAAGCTAAAATTGTCGCCATGTGTTTTTCCGCGTGTATCTGTGTGTTTACATCAGGCAAATACATTAGAGGTGTACTTCAAGTGTTTTACGTCCAAACATAATAGGAAATAATTGATTTTTAATTATTCCACGTCACTTTAAACTCTTACACGGCGTGCGTCCCTGTTGCTCTGACGATTAATTGGTTTTAAAAGTATTTTTATCATGCGCATTTGGGCTAGTTTGTGTTTATTTAGCTTTACTTGGTTCATTATTGGTTAATAACCTGTCAATCATAATGCATTTAGGCGCTGCTCTACAGCAGGCTGTTCCTTTTGGCTGATGGAGTCGTATACCCGGCTAACCACAGTGTTCTCTGGTGTTGGTGTTCTCCTCAGATGCTTGTGGCCTCTCGGATGCTGCTCACATCGAGAGCCTACAGGAGAAATCCCAGTGCGCTCTGGAGGAGTACGTGAGGAGCCAGTACCCGAACCAGCCCAGCCGCTTTGGGAAGCTCCTTCTGCGGCTGCCCTCTCTGCGCACCGTCTCCTCATCGGTAATCGAGCAGCTGTTCTTCGTCCGCTTGGTAGGTAAAACTCCTATTGAAACCCTCATCAGGGATATGCTATTATCCGGGAGCAGCTTCAACTGGCCTTACATGTCCATCCAATGATCCCTAATATGAAAGTGGAAAAAAAAAGAGAGTGAGAGAGGAAAAAAAGGACCAAAATTCAGCACCCCCTCACCCCGTCCTCCTACTCCTAGAAGAAGACTATATATAGGACCTTTTCTGAACAAACTTGGAAGACATTACTTTTTTCTGTCTTCTGGGACTGTGATGAAATACATAATGTACAGAAAAATATTGGAACTGGACTTTACACCTGTGTAAATCCACCCCGTCATCTTCAAGAACAGTACTCTTCATTTTGTAAAATACTACTCTTTATTTTCCTTTTGTTTTTGTAAAAAATACAAATAAAATGAAAAACATCATATGCGCAGTAAGAAAAAAAGAATCAAGACTTAGCGGGAAAATAATGTTTCCAAGCAATTATAAGAATTGTCCTGTGTCTATGTACTTCTCTGTTTTGTATTTTTTCTGGTTCTAAACCAGGGTTTCTGTGATTCTATACTAATAATTTTTTGATATAACCTTTTGCTTCTTATAATGAGTGCGATATATGTTGTCGAAGCTATGTTCTCCAAGAATTAAAATTGAAGTGAGGAATTAAAAACAGAAAAATAAAGAAATTTAGACAAATAAGAAACAGTCAAATCGCTATGACAATATCACCACTGATGGTTGAACTTTTTTTGCCCTAATTGAAACGATGGACTTGCAACAGCAGCAAAACTGACCTCCAGGTCATTTTTACTGAGAGGACGTCTGGAGCGCCTTTGACCCCCCCCCCCCCCCCCCCCATGAATGCGCGTTGGAGTCGATCATCAGTCAAAGAGGAGAGACATGAAAATCAAAAGCACTTTTAATATATCATTTCAAATACATTTTGTTTGTTTCGTCTTGAAGAATTTCCATTGTTTCTTGAATTTTATTGGTTGTTGCCTTCACTTTGCTTACTCCATGATGCAGCTTTTTGAAGAAGGGTCGGTTGATGAAGTTGTGTGATGGTGACTGTACTATTAAAAAAAACAGAAATAGGCAACCACGTCTCCTTCTCGAGCATTTTACTGGGAGTAATTGTTTAAGTTCTCGGGCGGAGGGAACCTGCATGTCTCTGTGGCTGCTACTGGCACATATAATTCTGAACACACGCACTACTTACCACTGTTACACCCAGCAGTGAAAACCTGGTGACACACTGGATTAGTGGGGTAATTACATCACGGTTGCACATCTTGCATTTTAAAAAACACGGTGACATAACTGCGAGCACAAAGCAGGTGATGGGGGACATCAGTGAGCTCGGCGCCAGCCCGTGGGCGCATTCATGTTTTATATTTCTTTCACAGCCACTAAAGGGAAGCCTGCGCACCACACAGAGTCACACCTACCCTGCCTATACCTCCTATGGCTTAATCAAGATGATTCTCCACAAACCAAACAACATCCCCTTCCCTTCTCCTCCTGCACCCCCCTCCCACTCCCTCCCTAAAAATGCTGCCTTGATAAGGAGTGTATGGTTCAGTATTGATGTGGGCGTTGTTTTTTTGGCAACAAAAAGGGTTAGGCCCTGCTGCAAAGCTGCTGTGATATGCGTGATCAATCTGGAAAATGTATTTTACAGCATTTAAGCCAGTCGATAGGAACACACCGAGTGTGATGCATGGTGTGGGAATGGGAGGGAGGGAAGGAGAGGGGGAGACAGAGAGGGGGTAAAGAGACTATAAGGAGGGGAGTGCAGACACAATTGTGAAGAGGGACATGTGTTTGTGTGTCTGTGTGTAAGAGAAAGAGATGTAGCCTTGGTTTGTCTCAGACTGTAATGAGTCCATCGATAAGTCCTCAGTGTGTTAGATGAGCTGCATGCAGTTCTATCCTTGAGTTGGTCCGTGTCCCTCTCTGCGTGTGTGGATGTTTGTTTCTGTCCCCATACACATTGCAAATGACACACAGAAGCCCATTATAGAACCCTCGATGTTTTTACACCTAGAATGAGCGAAATGTGATAAACTGGAAGGCGTTGTATGGAGGAGAAGCAAAAAGGGGAGAAAGTATTTTCTGTGTGACAGTGATTATTGCATTTGCCTGTAGTACTTAGTCCTCTCCTCCTCCTCATCATCATCATCATCATCAGATGTGTTGTTTGTGTAGGGCATATTATTGCCCACATCTCCATCTGCTGACTGGCAGTGGTGACGGACAGCTAGGAGGACATGCAGCACATGCATGTTGTGATGCCTGAATTTCATAACGCCATATTTGTTATCTGCCTTATAAGACATGGGGGGAAGGGTATGTCTGCCTGTAGTGGCTTATTTGTTTTGCATTGGCCGTCCCGCTCTTGTTCAAGGGCTACAGAATGTATTAAGGTATATATTAGTTCCCACTGGTGCTGGAATGCTGCTATAGATTTGCGTTAGGTTGTCCTTAGATGCTCTCATGCACAAGAGCGCGGTGTTTTTCCTTTTTACTCCAAATGATTAATGTCTGTTTAGGCATATTGTATCTTTTAACTCCCTGTCGACCAGCCCGTAGCGCTGGGTCAGTTGTCAGGCGTCCTGCTGTAGCTCACTACACAAATATCAATGTGATATTTCTCCAGGTTGTCTCCGATATTATGATAGAATCCTCCCGCAGGTCAGGTGGGGGAAGAAAATCTGTAGAATATACATCAGATAATTTATTATGTATTTGTCTGTCAAAATATATAAATATATGTTTGTTAAAATATAAACACAGATTAACTCTAAACACAGGCTTGGAGGATGTAATACATTAAAAATTTGGGATTATTCTGCGTCTCGGTGTTTGAAGGTTATCCCAAGGATGATTTCCTGGACAGCTTGTAAGAGTTATGTTAAGGGAATAATAATGGCGTCATCATAAGTATGACAATTAGGTCATTCTTTTAGATTTGAAAAGCAACAACCTTTTATCCTCTTGCCGAGAGCATTCTGTTATACAATTGTTACTCTACAGGCTATTTAAAGCAATGATTGAAGAACAGATTAAACTGAGGCATGTGTTCCTTATTAGGCGACACTGGCAAAATGCACACGGACTCTAGGAAACGTATTTTATTTTTAATTATTATTATTTGACTGCATCCACAAACTCTGGATTTAATAGTTTTAATAATAACCTTTACACATGTATTTTCGGAACACGAAAAGAGTATATTGACTTTTATAAAGGCGAAATAAAAAGTTTAGTAAAAATGTAAAAAATAAAAAATAATGCAAATCCAGGTCAGGCTGTAGCTGCGGTGGATAAATGAAGATGGATATGTGGCACACAACAGGCCCCATTTGTGTCTGTAATTTCGGAAACTCCGCTCACCCAAGTGTTAGTGCGAAATGAGTTAAATAACCGTTTACCTTTGTCTGGTTTCATTCATCAAACCACAAGTGGAGGACTCCTAAAGTCCTCCACTTGCAAACAAATAGCCCTCTGGGCTATTTGTTTGCTTTACACAAGCATCTGGGTGCGATTTCACGTTTGAGATATCTGTCTGAAATCGAAACATTTATTATCCTATTGTCCGTGAACCTATTTCTCCAAAAAGGGAAGCCTCGGTGCAAACCTTTGCGCAGCAGTAGAAATGTCCTATTGGCGTTACACGTCACTTCATTTCACTTATGGAGCACAGCCCGATTTTCCCCAGTACACGTTTGACAAATAGTGGTGTTTGAGACAA